CCTGGTGGCACAGACAGAACCTGGTGGCACAGGCTGAGCTGTGCCCTGGCTGATCTGGGCTCTGCAGCCACCCCACCCTGCCCAGCTCCTGGGGAAGTGCAGCCCCACAGGGACTTTCCTTTGCCAAAAGATCCTCAAATGCAAAATACCCAACTTGCTTTTTTTTTTTTTTTTTTTCAAGAAATAATCACAGCTGCTGGTGGGTGTAAATAAAGTATAAAAAATAAGAAAGAAAGAAAGAAGTGACACACATAACGCAGAAGAAAATGTTCATTATTTCCATCAAAAATCCTGCCAGAGATCTTATCACTATTGCTAAAGTAGCCTGTGCTGCCAGAACTTATCAGATGTTTCCCTTGAATTGGTGTCATAATGCCACTTTATATTTCTTTATAAAGAATGTGTTCCACAGCATATATATCCCACTCCTAGACGTGATGTTTATATTCAAAATGTGCCTAATTGTCAAAGTTCAGGTCTATTTCTGAATATTCGTGGTCAACTCCCTTCTATTTACCCAGGAGCAGTTTACCTGAAAGGCTGTGGGGTTTGGGTAAGCACAGAGGGCAGGGAGAGCAATTCTGTGTTCCTGAGTACAGCACCCAGGTTCTGTGTAGGTGTGGTGAAACAACTTTTGGAACCATAAAAGTAATCTTGATAGCACTTGCATGGAAACCGTGCTATTGTATGGTAATGAAACTGGTGTAATCAGCCTGGAGTGAAACTGGTGACTAATTCAAAAAGCAAACTTCCTGTCTGCAGCAAAAGCCCTCTGTGAAAAAATGCCTTTTCTTCGCTGCCCCGTGCCTCTGTGTCACATTGCAGCCTTAGTTCTGCTGTGGGAGTGCTCAGACACAGCAGGTAATGATCATTTGGAGTTTTCACTCTTGAATTTGTTGAATTCCTCAGTCTCCTGACCAGGAGCAAAGAGTTTTAGTGACAGAGTCTTCTGTCAGGGCAGGGTGGAAGGAGTGGGGTCCAGCTGGGGTCTCTGGGGGTGAGATGGGAGAGTTCCAGAGGTCCCAAAGAACCAGCTCAAAGGTGCTGCACTCTCCCCCTGTGTGAGGAATCACTGGAACAATCTGCCTTTGGTGTGGGCTTGGTGCAGGCCAGCTCTGCTTGGGGCTATTAGTGAGCTCTGGGGAATGTTCCCACTCCTCAGGCAGCTGGGAAGGATCCCAAAGAGCAGATTTGGGGAAGGATGGCATTGTTTCAGCTCTGAGACCTGGGCTGTGCTGTATGCAGTGCACAGAATTCTCCTGCCTGGGGTCCCTGAAAGCACTCAGGTGTAAATATTGGTTGTATTTGAGCATTTTAAAGTAATTTGAGGGTAACCATATCAACGAAGGAGATAAGGGTTTTCTGAGACGCCTGTCAGGCTCAGTCTGATGTCAGTAGTTTGCAGCCTCAATAGCCTCCAAATCCCTTGCAGTCCTTTAACACAAAGCTGTGTTTTTCTGATTGTTTCACAAGGGCTGCTGCTGTTTCTGCTCAAGGCTGAAGGGATCGTTGTGACTGGCCACTGATTGTGTCACAGCCTGAGGACTCTTTCATCTTCCAGGCCTTCAGCTGCTGGGCAGATCAAGGTGAACGTGGGAGCAAACTGAGCCTTGCAGCACAGATAACCCCACCCAGCACTGCGGGCTGGGAGCTCTGAGAAGGAGCAGATAAGGCTCTGGGGTGTTGATGCCACTTGGTCTGTGAGCCGTGTTCCATACTGTCAGGCAGGGCAGTCAGGAATGCTGGTGTGGCCACAGCCCTGGAGGATTTGTGAGAGGGCTGGTGATTGTCACAGCCTGTCAGGACACAGCCAGCTCCCCCAGGGCTGTTCCCTGCTGCCTCTCACACCACAGAACCCCCTGCTCGGGTTCCTGGGGCCCTTTCTGCATGCCACAGCCCACAGCTGCAGCTGTGAATATGAAATATTAACCCTCCCTGAATGGAGATGCATTTCCCTTTCTGAATACTTTATTTTGTCATTAATAGTTCCATTAGGAGGACCCCACTGTCCACTGGTGGCACCGATCTGCTCCCAGCAGAGCACACCCGAACCAGTCCTGTCACGGGAGGAATATTGTCTTCATGTACCAGGAAAATCAGCGTAAAAACGACTTCAAACACGAATTGATTCTGTTCGTGGTCCATCACTCCTCAAGGCTGAGGGACCTGCAGCACACCCAGGGACTGACCTGGCAGTCGTGGCTCAGTGGGAGCAGAGCAGTGTGGAATCAGGGGCTGCCCCATGGTAGTGGGGGAAGAAAACACATTTTGCTTTATTTACAATAAGCATATTTCCCAGGACAGAGTTGAACTCAACTTGTTTGCCCACTTGCAGACAGCCAACAAGATCCCTGATGCCAGGACCTGTTCCAGTTCATCCTGCTAATGCTGCCTTTCATTTTATTCTTCACTGCTCAAGCAGAGATGAAGTTTGAGGCTGTCTCAGTATCACTGAGGCAGATGTGGCATTTTAACACTGTCAGCAAGACCAAATGTCAGCATGGTCAGAGTTTGTTTTCCTCCTTGAAGGATTTTTGCCTGGGTTTCCCCCAGCAGCAGAGCCTGTGGGCTGCTTCCCCTGCCAGCAGATCCTTTCTGGGTGATGTGAGCTCGAGTTAAAACTCGAGGCACCGTCACAGATGGCATCCAGGCACAAATGTCTGTCAAAAAGCAGTTTATCAAAATCACTGAAAATTCTAATTCTGTTCTCCAGAGTGCTGACAGCAAACTTGATAGCATCAGCACATTTTGGGTTTCCACTGGTTTTCAAGGCACTAATACAAAGCTCTGGTCTGTTTTCCAGTTTCATGGCAAACTACTGACGCATCAGAAGTTTTTAAACAGGTTATTTATCTTCTAGGTGTTTTCCCAGGCTGATGAAGTGCTGCAGGTTTGTGGACTCTGAGGTGACTGACTAATGCAAATAAATATCTAAGAGTCAGGTTTGATTTCAGTGTTAACAAGTGCCTTGGAACCTGTCTTTGTTCAGTAAACAACATATTTCATAGTTTACATCAGATTGGATCCTTCTGCAAATATAAACAAATACATTCATGGAATAAGAAAGTAAACTCTGTGACACTCATGGCTGCAGTGACTAATCAATTAAAAAGTCTTTTTATTGCTGGCTATTTAAAATCAAAGCACCCAGGCCTGTAGTGCAGGAAGAGTTTGGGGTCTGCACATCTGGAGAAGAGTGTGGAAGAGGTTTGGGATCTCGTGATTCCTGGGATCTGGAAGGAATGTGTCAGCTCTGCGTGTCATGAACTCAGTCTGGCATTGTTTAAATGATGATTTTAGAGCTCCTGTCAGTCTCCTGCTGCCAGACTCTGCAGTGCAAAGGCTCGGGGCTGAGCAGGGAGGGTCCCTTCCTTTGGGGCTGTGCTGCTCCTGCCGAGCTGCCAAGGCAAGGCTTGGCACCCAGGGCCAAGTTCTGTCTGTCTGTCTGTCCACACCTGTGCCAGCACACCTGGGATCTGCTCTGTCTGTTCACACCTGTGCCAGCACACCTGGGATCTGCTCTGTCTGTTCACACCTGTGCCAGCACACCTGGGATCTGCTCTGTCTGTTCACACCTGTGCCAGTACCTGGCAGCTATAAATACCCCTGGAGTGTGAGTCACAGCTCGTGTGGCACCCAGAGCCCTTCCTGCCACTCCAGGGACGTTTCACAAGGTTGGTGCTGACTCAAGGCAGCTGCAGCCACATCTCACCTTTCTCCTGAGCAGTGAACAGAATGAATCAGCCCCTCAAAACCCCACGGCCTGAACTGCACGGAGTTTAAACTGCAGTCCTTGTGCCATCCCAGGGGAGCACCGAGCTCCAAACCTGCACCAGCTCAGGGAGGGGCTGGCTGGGGGCTGTGGGGCTGGGACACCCCCAGGGGCTGCTCCAGAGGATGTCCCAGCACTCTGATGGACGTGCTTGGGATAGCCCTGGTTGGGAAAAAGGAGCCGAAGTCACCTGGAACATTAAAAACCTCAATAAATGGTAGTGTTGCCTCTGTGTTGTAGCTGTACAGGAGTCTGCAAACAGCCAGCCTGTGTTCTTACTACAGTTACTGCACTTCTAAAATAGCACACTGGTAGCAAAAGTACAATTTCAAAGTAAAGTTTGGTGTAGATAAAGACCAAGCCACTGTTCCTACTCCTACTTACCGTATGGAGAAGCCACTGCCTGTTACAGCTCTGCCAATAACTGAGCTCACAGCACAATGAAACTCTGTAAATAGTATTTAAGCGTTGACAGTATTTAAACATTTAACTCACCGAGCCTGGTGTGAGTACACTTTCTCAGCATTAGGAAATCTATTGCTTAATTAATGTTTTATGGCAGTTTGCATATATAAAGCACTATATATGAATGCTGAGTATGATTCAGTTGTCAGTATCTGAACATGAATTACATTTCACACAGGGTTTGGGAGAAGAAATTCCATAACATTAGGCAAAATGGCTTATGCATTCCCAGTAATTTTACATAAAATCTATTCATAGTGCCCATTGACTGGAAACAATATATGGGATTCTTTTAGCTGAACTACTTAATTCAGCAGATAACCACTGCTGCTTCATAGTTCACGGGTGAGAATGTGAGGGAGCAGCTGAGGCATCCAGCTGAATTCGATTAATGACAAAGGAACGTTTCAGAGGACAGAGGGGACACTGTCCAGTGTGCCCACAGCACAGGCAGGGCTGCAAGTGACCACAAGGAGCTGAGCAGTAAAACCCGAGAGCTGATCCTGTCC